GCGCAGGTCTCCTCCACAAAGCACCCCTCCGCGCAGGTCTCCTCCACAAAGCACCCCTCCGCGCAGGTCTCCTCCATGAAGGTCCCCTCTGTGCAGCTTGAGCTGGCCACTGACAAGGACCAACCCCAGGCTGTGGAGTCCCACCACAGCTTCCACACTGACGTGCTGGCCAGCCAGCAGCTCAGCTCTCAGGAGCCAGTGACAGCTGAGGACCAGATGCCCGTGAACCTGGTGGAGCGCAAGCTTTCTGGGTCCTCTGGCATTGATGTGGGCTCCAGTGCCCCCAAGTCTGAGGAAACAGTGAACATCAAAGACAGCAAGGACTATGACAGGATTGAGATTGAGGATGAGGAAGAGGACAAGTATGAGGATGAGGGCGAGGTTGAGGCCTCCTTCAAAAATGAAAACATGTCCCAGAGCGAGGACTCTTCAGTCAGGCACTCTGTGGACATGGGTCACAGTGACCCCCCATGAGGTCTCTGCAAGCCACACTGAGCCCTTGATTCCCTGCTGCTCTTCCTGCTCCTTCATAGAGTTACTGCCCACCCAGCAGCCTCTGCCCTAAGCAGGGGTCAACATGGACTGAATGCCCACAGGGAGCTCTCTGAGACCCTCAGGGAAGCCAACCAGAGAAACAGAATTAAAGGCTGTGTTGACAGAGCACGGTTTTCATGTCCTGAGATTTCAGCCTCCCTTTCCATGCACCTGCCCTTAGGTAGCACCTTCAGTGGGCTCAGCCATGGCTACAGCCAGCCTTCCTGACAGCTGATAGTGCACTGAGCCCCTGGGCAACAGGGCCAGCACTGCCTCATGGCTGCTCTCAGAAGACCAGCCCCTTGCCACTTGCCCACTTTGCTATGTGGATCTTCCTGATCCAGTCTATACCTTCCTGGCTCTTTAAGTCTCAGGACTCCTGGTCACCCCTCACTCATGGCCCCAGTTCCTGCTTTTGAGGGGCTCTTTTTCTCCCTCCTTTTGGCCCAGGCACTGTGTGTGTGCCCTCTCTTGGTGCACTCACAGCTACCTACCTTCCTAATTTGTATTCCCAGCTCCAAGAGCTGAACATCTGGAGTCTCCATGCCACGCCACATGGTGGCTACTGGTTGGTCAGCCTATGGATCAGCTGCCTGGGACTGTTCCTGTGACTAATTCTCCAGCAGGCCTCAGATCTCCCTAGATGGGTCTATGGGCATAGCTTGTGCTGTGATTGGTGGGGCTCCTGTCCAAGGTTCTCCAGGGCTTTCTGGCTATCCTTCTCTCTGCCTTCTGAGGGAAGCCAGTCTGTTGCCCTACTAGGTGCCTTCACTCAGGGAGCAGCTCAGCCTCTCCTTCCCTGCTTCTGTAGCCAGGCGTCAGTGGAGGATAAGAGAACATGTGAGGATGCTCTGACTCTGCCTTCTTGGTGCAGGCTGTCCTGTGAAGAGCCTGGTGGGTCTCTTTCGTCTCTCCCTAGAGCCTACTGTGGTGACAGAGGTCAGGCTCGCTCAGCTAAGCTTGATTATGAGTACCTGACAAGTGTGCCCATGACCAGTGGCCTGCATGTGAAGAGACAGCAACTGTATCCTCTGGAGCCAGAACCATACCCTGTGATTCAAGGAGGAGGAGGAGCATTTGGTCATCTGCCATTCAGAGGGGCCAGGGTCCTAAGGTTGGTATGAGAGTGACCCATTTTTCCACAGAGCTGTTGTGACGAAGATCTTTTAGGGCACACACTGATTCAGTGCCCATTCCCTGAGGCCACCCACCCCTGCAGTATGGGGCCACAGTAGTCTCTCTTTTTTTGAAACAGAGTCTCACTATGTCACTCTGGGTAGAGTGCTATGGCATCACAGCTTACAGCAACCTCCACTACTTGGGCTTAAGTGATTGTCAAGTAGCTGGTACTATAGGTGCCTGCCACAACACCTGGCTGTTTTTTTTTTCTTTTTTTGAGACAGGAGCCTCAAGCTATCCCCCTGGGTAGAGTGCCGTGGCATCTCAGCTCACAGCAACCTCCAACTCCTGGGCTCAAG